AGAAGCAAATAAGTCCTTGGTGATTTTATATATAAAAAAAAAAAAAAAGATCAGCAAATGGAAATTTTTTAAATGAAAATCTTTATTTAATAAAAATAAAAAACTGATATAGAATATAAACAATAATTTTCTTATTAAAATGAAAAAGATAAAGATTTATTTTATGTTAAAATAATAATTATTTATTTTTAAATTTCAAAATTTTATTTTTCTCTCTTAAAAGTAGCACTTCGAATTCATAAATATTTATTTTAATCTTGTTGTAAAATTTGAACACAATGTTACATTTTTTTGATTTTCTTGAAATAACATTATTTGGTCTTGTATAATTTTAATAAATTAAATTCACTATTTTTTAATCTTAGACTATTTATCATCATACAAAGTATGTTAAGTAAATTTTATAGTTTAAACAATGCCAGAACTCAATTTTTTTTACATTGCAAACATATGTTAACAATTTTCTAAAAATATCTCTTAATTATACAAAATTACTAATCATTTTGCTTTTATTTGATAAAAAATTATTGAGAAAATTACTATTAACCCCCTGAAGTTAGGCCATAATTATTAATTCAACCTTGCATTTTCAAAAATCAATTACTTAACCCCTGAGTTTGTATCATTATCACTGTTTGCCCCCTCTTCTTATTATTTGTTATATTAAATTTAATATAACTTTTAAATTTAAGCAAAGTTGTCTATAAAATTAAACTTTAAAGTAAAATACAATTTAATATCATAATTATAAGTCATTGTTGTTGATCCTTATTTTCTTCTTATCTACCTGATCATAGAATAAATTTAATGAATGTTATTAAGCGAGAAGACTCACGAAAAAGATATAAAATATCACGAATTTTATCTTTTTTAATTTAAAAAGTAAATATCATTTAATCATATTAAACTAATTAATAAAGTTTTTGAAAAATCATAAAAAATTAGTAATAGAATTAATAAAAAAACAAAATCTATGATATATATGTCAGGTCTTAGATAGATTGACAACTTACAATTATTCAGACCAACATTCTATATTTTAGGTTCGTCGTTATTAATACTAAACCAATCTTTTAGGTCATTGGTTGATAAAATTCCTTTTTTTCTTGGTATTTCATCTTTGCTACACACGAAAGAATTGTCATTGAGATTAATGTAGCCGGATGAATTACAAATAAGACTTTTATATTCATGATGAAGAGGTGTCTAGAATTCCAATCACAATATTTCAAACAATTTTATTTGATATATCTCATGAATATTACTCAGCTCATGTGTCTTTTACCTTAGCTACTTTCATTAATATTTTTTATTCCGTGATTGAGTAGCTAAGTACAAAAATGAAGATCAAGAAAAATGATTTATAATTATGATAACAAACTGTAATTTACTTTTAAAATTTAATTTTATAGACAATTTTCATTGATTTTAAGAGTTATTCTAAATTTAATTGAACAAATATCAACATGAGGGGGCGTACAGTGAGAATGATCAAAGGTGAGAGGGTAACTAATTAATTTTTGAAAATGCAAGGTTGCATTAACAATTTTGACATAACCTTAGGGGGTTAATAATAATTTTCCCAAAATTATTCAATGAGGAGATTTTGAGATTTGACGCATTTTCTAAATCAAAAGATTAATGAGCTTAATTTATAGTGAGATTGGATTTGACACATTAAAACCCCAAAAAGAGACCCACGTATTAGGATGTTTTCACTTGGATTATAATATGTCAAGACCAGACCAGATCAGATCAAACTTGAATAGTTATAAAAATACAAAAAAAAATCAGACCTGACCAAATTAAACCAGATCAGACCGGCAAATTACAGTAAAAACATCTTACACATTTGCACGTATGGCCGCCGTATGGGCCTATACTCAATTACTCAAAGATGATGGAGCTAAAAGTGTATGATGAAGTAGGCTGGCGTTACCATAAATGAACTCAGTTATGGGAGGTGTTGAGACTTGAGAAGGACATCACATGCCACTCTTCATCTGCGTCATCTCACATCTTCACCAACAGTAATAAACATTCGAATAATTATTTTCGGACCGATTCCCCCATGGGAAAAGTTTTGAACCATGGGTGAATTTTCAGAATTCACCAGAACCCTAAATCTCGAGCGTACCCAAAAGAACGTGAGGTTCTCACCCCTAGAGTTACGAGTATATGGTTTTTGAACATTTCATGATATGATGACAACTTTATATGGGAAGCATTTACTTTTTAGCATCCCAAGTTTACCACAATGAATTCTAAAAAATTGCACCTCAAAGTCTTGAGATAAGTAAATTAAATTGGAAAAATGGAAACTAATAATCCAACCTTTTAGCGGTCTTCTTTTAATAGTCTCACCTTTTCGTTATTCATGAATAATCCAACCTTTGCACCTCATCTTCATTCACTGGTCCTTGACTGGTTCATGACCTGCTATTCCAAGTTATTTTCTTATCTTTGCAAAATATTATCTTTGTGAAAGGTGGAATTTATGGTATAATAGTTTGCAGAGATGAGAAAATAACCCGGAATAGCAGGTCATCAACCGGTCAGGGACCAATGAATGAAGATGAGGTGCAAATGTTGGATTATTCATGAATAACGAAAAGGTCGGACTATTAAAAGAAGACCGCTAAAAGGTTGGATTATTAGTTTCCATTTTCCCAATTAAATTCGAATTGTTAGACAATTCACTAGGTTACCATGGTCACAACAAATAACTCTTAATTGATTGATTGTGTGAGTGTTTTTATATTTCAAACATAGCTCTCGTGGAAACGTCCACTTATAGTTAAAACACAAGAGGTTCCAACAAGAAACTATCTCCATCTCTTAACGAGTTAACGTTGTTTAAGGTGAGACCGTGTTCTGATTATGCAACCATTCGAGCCAACTCTGGAGCTAGAGCATCATCATTTGAGAAAAGCTTCCCAAATTAATTAGCACATTTGGTGACATGATCACAATAGTAAGGGAAGCATCCTGAGGTGTTGGAATCAGTCCCCGTCTATTAAAATAGACTGATTCCCACATTTATCAAATGAGAATGTAGTCCGGACAGTGGTGTAGGCTGGGGGAGTTAGATTGGTACTAAGATTATTTTGAAATGTTTTTACACTAATATATAAAACATTTTTTAAATTTGAGATAAGGCGATATCTAATGTGCCCCTAGCTCGGCCATGAGCTCCAAAATACATCAAACAAATGCTTCTCTACAGTTCCTCTCATGTCTGAGATTGCATACTCTTTACTACTATTATCTTTCAATTCATTTCTAATTAATACTCCCTTCGTCCCTTTAACTTTGTCCTATTTTACTTTTTTGTTCATCCCATTATGTTTGTCTCATATCATATTTGGTAATACTTGAGTGCCTACAATTCATTCTTACTTTATTCACACTTTATCAATTTAATATTAACCACATATTTTTACTTTTTCTTAAAACCCAACACGCCCCTTTGTCCCAAACATAAGGGGACAGAGATAGTACTACATAATACGGAGTAATTATTCTCACATTTAAATTTGGTTGTTTAACCGGTAAATAAATCAATTGTTAAGGTTCAATATATTAGAGCCCGTTTGGTAGCACGAAAATCGGCTGTTTTGGCTGATTCTGCTGAAATTTATGAAGTTCTGGCTGAAGTAGCTGCTTTGGCTGTTTCTGCTGATTTAAGTAAAAATTATTTTTAAAATATATTTTATTAATAAAATAAAGAAAAAGTTATATGTAAAAATAACTAAAATGGAAATCTACAGTAACTTCAGCCAATACAGCCAGAAAAGTAACTCTAACCTTACTTTTTCTGCTTATTACACAATTCAGCGCGCGAAAGTAAAAGTTACGTGTTTGGTGAAAAAGTTGGCTGATAAGCCTGATAAGACGAAAAAGGATGTTTCCAAACGGCCTCTTAGTGTAATCGATAAATGTGAAGGTTGAACACACTTTACATTATACACACAAAACAATAAATAGACTTGATAGTTTAGTGAAACATGAATTTTATAATGTTTAAAATACACAAATTAGACAATCTAAAAATTATACATCGATCTAGCTATAAGAGCTCGTTTGGTGATCCTATTTTTCAGCTTATCAGCCAACTTTTTCACCAAACACGTAATTTTTTATTTCGCACGTTGAATTGTGTAATAATGAGAAAAAATAAGGTTGAAGTTAATTATTTTCCCGGCTGTATTGGCTGAAGTTAATGTATAAGATCATTTTAGCTATCTTTTCATATAATTTTTTCTTTATTTTAGTAAATAAAATATTTTATTTTAATTCTCTTTGTAAATAAGTAGAATCAGTCAATTCAGCAAGAAATTCATAAATTTCAGCAGAATCAGCGGATTCAGCCAATTTCTATGTTACTCTTATGATGTATTTTTAAAAACAAATACATTTTAAAAATGTCTAAACTTGATAATAGAAAAGGGAAAACAATATCAAACTAGGTCTAAACTTTCACAGCCAATATCTTTGCTAATCCATTTTCCATTGGATTATTGAATAAATCCAATTTCTTCAATTTCAATGAGACTTTCAGCCCGTCAACCCAAGATGGTTGAAGCTCCGTAAATGAGTGGTTTTGGAAAATTTAAACCCGAAATGGGCTGAACTGTACCCTGCCAAATATAGCAACACTTTTTCACTTTATTTGAAAATATCACAAAGAAAAACGCCAAAAATAAAAAGGAATATTCACTTTCCAAAAGAACCTAACTAGCTTCAATTCAATCACCTTTTCGCCATTCCCTTTTACCCATACCTGGAGAAAATGGACAGATAATGGATGGATGCTCAGCTACACACAGATGATAAATATACATAAAAGATGGAGATACAATATGTGTAGTAGCATAGTATTCTATAGAGTGTAGACATAAATATATACAAGAAAAAGTAGACCATTGCTGTTGGAATGTCCATTTCTTGTGTCTATAAATATATATCTTCTCCCCTCCCCAACTGACTTCCATTTTCTGCAACCCTCCAGTTCCCACCAGCATACAGCTAGCCAGCAACAATTACCACAAAGGTTAATTACTATATGATTTTAATTATATAATAATATTCACATACTTATATTTACACAACACATCTATTTATGCTTAGCCAGCAACATTGTGTTTTACTTATTTCAGCTTTGATAGATATTTGTAATTTAAGCTAAGTTATGATAAGGTAAGGAATAACAAAAAAGTATATATGTAATTTAAGTAAGTGGTGAAGAGATCAATGGATTTTGGGAATCAAGAATTGGATGAAGAGTTATCACAGCAGAGGAAATCACCAGCAAACCTAACAACAACAGCAAGAGGAAAGATTGAAATAAAGAGGATCGAGAACACGACGAACCGACAAGTCACCTTCTGCAAACGCCGTAACGGATTGCTCAAGAAAGCTTATGAGTTATCTGTGCTTTGTGATGCTGAAGTCGCTCTTATCGTCTTCTCCACCCGAGGCCGTCTTTACGAATATGCAAATAACAGGTTTAATTTCTTGTTCATAATTTTTTTATGAGTTATACTTTGCTTCTGGCTTCTTCATCTTTCAAGTTCTTGATTAAATAAATAAAAAATAAATAAACAAACATATTCTTGAGTCTGTTTTTAACTGATTTAGCGTTTTTCATACTTCGTGTGATCAGTGTGGGATGACTCAACACTTGCAACGCATTAAAAGGATATAAAGTAAAAAAGTAAAAGAACTCCCATATCTTCCATTTTTATGTATGATTGTGAACTTTATCTTTCCATTTAATTCTTTTCCATTTTCTTGATCCTTCTGTTTGCTTACAATTCTATGTCTTAAGGCTGCAGTGTCATAGGTTTGGCTTTCATTTGTTGTTGTTATTGCTTGTCTTCTTCCTTGGGCAACATGTCAGCTGAGCCTACCATGGAGGAGATTAGGGTTAGTTCAAGTACTAGAAAAGGGTGTGGTTGAGAACTTTTCAACACAACTGCCCACTTTCAAACCTGTCAGAAAGCTAAATTAGGGTTCTTTGTATTAATAACATTTGTTAGGAAGTTGCCCATTTTTGTTTTCATCTTTATTTACAATTTTACCCCTAGAATTCAATTTTGTCATTGCTAACACATCAGAATCTTGAGCTTCAATCTAGTGAACATATATGAGATGCATTCCCGATTAGAGAGCCCTTCCTTTTAATACCCTTCAATTCGTTGGGTTCTGAAATTTTTCCTTTGCTCATTTCTCTCGACGAATGAGTTTCTTTTGTCTGTTTGATTGAGAACAAAGAGAAACGGATCCGGTCAAACAAAATTATCATCACAAAATCTGCGAAACAATTATTCGAGGAAAAAATGAATGAATTGAAGCTAGGGACAGTTTTAGAATATTCACTCTCAATTCTAATTTTATAAAAATTGAATGTTTATGGTCGATAATTATTCCTTTTTTATCGATCAAAATAATTTGACATTATAAATAGTATTACACCTTTACATTTTTTCTCTACATGTACCAAGAAATGAAGAAATGCAACAGAGTGTCATTGACTGTTGAACATTGAGAGGTGTTTGAATCTAATTCTTAAAATTGATTTAACTGCTCCAGAGAGATACTAGAGTGTTTGGGTGAAAGGATAAAAGTACTTGTACTCCAAATTACTTGTTGGTCTTATGGGATCGGAGAGTTGCACCACCCTTTGGCACCACAAAGTGGTGCAGCCTCTCATGTCCGTCCACCGCTCAGTAGTGGGGCTCTGCACTGCCGTAGTGAACTGTGGGGTGCCCCACAGAAATCTACCTTGACTTGGGGACTACAGAGTAATGAGTTAAATAGAGGGTGTTCCCTTCCTTATCACCAATTGGTTTTAAGAAAAGATATGGCTGCTATTTAACCACAGAACTCTGGAGTTAAGCAAGCCCGGGGTAAGAAAGCCCAAGGATGGGTGACCAACTGGGAAGTTTGTCGACATGTGGTGCTGATTGTTGGTCTTACGGGGGATCAGTATCACCCTTTGATTCAGGGTTTGAACATCCAACCTGTTGGCACCATGATGTGGTGCAGCCCCTCATGTCCATCTGTCACTCAGTAGTGGGGCTCTGCACTGCCGTAGTGAACCGTGGGGGTGAATTGATCCAACATTACTCCTAAAACAGTTATTTAGAAGATGGAGGAGACCACTTTTTAAAAATTGATTTTCATTCTACCTCTCTTTTAATTAAAAAACAAAAGCATAATCGACCCATTCCAAACACCCATATATAACTGGTTCTTATGTGGCATACAGTAAGTCCGTAAAAGTTAGGTCACTTTTAGCTTATTTTGACTTGTATTAATCGGGTTGATTTATTTTTAGCATAGGACTGGAACCAACAATCACGTCGACTATGATGTGATGAGTATTGGTCTACTTTTTATCCGGTTTAGTTTTGATCAAAGATGTTTTCTTTTGGATTGAAATTTGCTGGTCTGATCTGGTCTGGTAAACGTTTGGTCTCTTTGTATTTTATAACTACGGAAGTTTGGTCTGATTTGATCTGGTCTGGTCTAGTCTGATTTTGGACTGGAAACAGTCCAAAAGAAAACATCCTAATTCAGTTTCGATTGGTGTCATTTTATTAAATTCTGCGCTCTTTAAATTTGTTCACCAGATCATATGTCCACCCTAGCTTGTTATTAGTTATCAAAGAACTTCATTCTCAATACTTTCCTTAACATTCCAGTGATTGATGATAAAAAACATGACGATTTAACTTCGTTTAACCCAGACTGTATTTTTGAACTTATGATATTTTGCCTTAGCTCGTTAAAAACTATTCTCATTTTGTTCCATGGTTTTCCAAGTATATATATGAGTTTTAGCGATAATTCAAATAGATAGTATAATATAAATTATAATCACAATTACGTAGTTAACCCTTTCGGGCATCTACATTGTTGAGTTTATTTGGAGATTACTTTGATAATGTGGAAGATCTTTGTTGAGATAATGATTGAGAAGATGAGATTATCATTTGAGATTATTTAGAACAAAATATGGTTTCAAGTATCAGATCTAAATTAATTTGAGATTATTTCCAACTTTTTCATTACTCAAGGCTTTCAAAAATGTGCTAAGTTCAGGGTTTCGCCAAAATTCATAGAGGATTTATGAGTCCTTAAATTTTCTAAGTTTGGAATTCTCTTCTTTTAGTTTGAAGCTTCTCAGAATTATCATTATTGTACCCATCAATAGGGTCTCCTCTCCTCCTTGGCATGCCTCGGAGTTATCCATACCTACTGATTTGATCGGTTCTCACAGATTACCAGTACTCTACTCACGGCTAAATAATCTCTACACGTGAAGGAAGTTGGATATCACGAGTGGACATGGAAAGCGAAGAATCAAAATCATCCAGATCTACCTCAGGTATCAAAGGGGAGAAGATAGAAGGAATTGAAACGTTATTGAACAGACTTGATCTTCGGGATGGTGAGGAAGAGGAGGTAGTTCTAGAAGAGGATTTGAATGAGTTAGAAGCTGAGGCCAGATGGCTAGCCCTCGGTAGGGTTCATACTGAAAAATCATTTAGTCACGGTGGTTTTTTCGGGAACATGCGCTCTGCGTGGAACTGTGCAAAAGAGGTGGACTTCAGGGCAGTTAAGGAGAATCTATTCTCAATACAATTTCATTGTCTGGCGGACTGGGAACGGGTGATGATGGAGGGGCCATGGATCTTTCGAGGATGCCCAGTGTTGTTAGCCCAATATGATGGCTGGTCTGCGATTGATACGATTGAACTCCAAACCTATCCTGTATGGGTTCAAGTTCATGATCTTCAAGAGAAAATGAGAACAGGAAGTATTGCTTCACAACTCGCACGTAAAGCGGGAGCCTTTATTAAACTTGATGTGGCATCTGTCAAAGGAAGTGGTGATGGAGTGCGGGTGCGGGTGATGCTAGATGTCCGTAAACCCCTGACGCGAGTGGCAAGTACTACCATAAACAAGAAAAAAAGGTACTTCAGGTTGATGTATGAAAAGATGCCGGTGTTTTGCGGTGTTTGTGGCCTAGTAGGGCATGTGACTAAAGAACATGGAGATGGTGTTCATTCACCAGAGGCAATAGTTTATCCAGACACATTAATTGCGCCAGAATTTCGAAAAGGTGGACCGAGGTGGAATGGCAGTGCTGGACGTGGCAGGAGAGGCAGTCGGGAAAGTAAAGGAGGTCGTGATTTGAGCCATCTTAACACAGAGATTCCAGACCCCGGAGAAGAGGAGGATGACCTAAAGAGCACAGCTACTAGCCCATCTAAATCAAAGGTTCAACAGATTATTTCAAATCCTTATGCAAAGAAGAGATTAATGCTGGAGGATGGTGTGCACGAGGTGGAGGAGGGTCAGATGGACGGCACAACTATCATGGCGCCAGATTTGGAGGAGAAAGTGGGTATGATAGAGAAGGAACACGAAGCGGAGGGTGACATGCAGATTGTTACTACAGAATCTTCGAGTAGAGAAACTAAACGTCAAAAGAAGGGAGGAAACACAAACTCAAACACTACCGACTTGGCAACATCGGCGGGCTCCTCGGAGGAGCTCTGCCGGGCCTAATGTGTATCATCAGTTGGAACTGCCGGGGACTGGGGCAGCCCCGGACAGTTCATGATCTTGTTTGCATGGTGCAGACATACCGCCCGAATTTGGTCTTCTTGTCTGAAACCCGTCAGGACAAGAAGATAGTCAGGGATTTTCGCTGGAGGCTAGGACTCCGTAACTGTCTTTCGGTTAACGGTGAGGAGAAGGGAGGAGGTTTAGCGCTCTTCTGGGATGAAGGAGTGAAGGTGGATCTGATGTCCTTCAATAAGCATCACATTGACGTGCTTATTAGGGAAACACCAGAGGGTGATAGATGGCGTGGTACCTTTGTGTATGGAGAGCCAAAGGTACAAGACAGACATGAAATGTGGACGTTGTTGCGTCGAATTAAACCGAATGCAACCGAACCATGGTTGCTCATTGGTGACTTCAACGAGGCAAAGTGGCAGACAGAACACTTCTCGCATTCTAGGAGAAGTGAAAGGTAAATGAGGGATTTCAGGGAGGTACTTTTTGATTGTGATGCCCATGACCTTGGGTTTCATGGTACCCCTTGGACTTATGACAATAAACAGAGGGGATCGCGGAATGTACGAGTACGGCTTGATAGGGCTGTGGCAGACCAAAGATGGTCTGAACGGTTCCCTCATGCACGAATTACACATCTTGTGTCGTCATGCTCTGACCACACACCTCTATTACTGGAGTTAGAGGAGCCAACAATAAGGACACCTAAGCTTCATGTGAGGAGGTATGAGGCAATGTGGGAGCGAGTTGAGAATCTCCCTGAAATTATATCGAAGGCATGGCAGGATACTATGGTGGTCGAATGCCTTGGAGATGTGAATAAAAAGCTGGAGAGCATGATGACTGAGCTACATGCTTGGAGCTTACAACACTTCGGTAATATTAAAAAGGAGCTGACTGGACTACGGAAGAA